AACTTAACCAAGTACTTTTGTTGCCTGAACTTAACCAAGTACTTCTGTTAATAATTACTTTTAATGTTTTTTGACACGTGAAAAGTTTTAATTTTCTCTTACATTTGAATAATTTTAATTATTTGCATTTGACCGACCAGCAGAGATCATTTAATTCAATATTCGATTAATTTAAAGACACAACGTGAATGTAAATAAATACATATAAATTTACAAGTAAATACAATATAAACAATCTTACCTGCAGAGGGAGACCGGCTTTGGCCCCAAGCAGAGTGGGAGAAAACCAGGGCCTGAAGATCTTCTCACAAATCACCTGAAGAGGAGGAAGAAGAGGAGTAGGAGGAGGAGGAGGAGGAGGAGAAAAAAGGAAATAAGAAGAATCGTGGAGCGTGAAAAGGAAAGAAAGATCATCATGAAGAAAGAGGAGGAAACAAAATAAATGAAGTTAAGAAAATAGATTAAAAGGAATGAAAACGATGAAGGAAAGGGTGAAAGGAAAGGAGATGAAGAAGTGGAAAGAGAGAAGAAAAATGACAGGATGAAGAAGAGGAGAGGAGACAAGAGGAACATGTAGAGAGAGCAGGAAAGGAAAGAAGAGGGAGGAAGATAAAAGATGAGTGATCCTGAATGCGATGCTTTTTATACGTCATGTGTGTGTGTGTGTCATCACACACACACACTAAGACAATGCCTCCTTTCTCTGAGGAGATGATTGACAGGCGGGGGGTGGGGGGGGTCACCGTGGAGCTCCAGGTGGACCAATGGGATGGCAGCATGTCATCACCCTCTGATCGTCACTTCTTTCTTCTTTTGTTCTCGTCGTTTGACACTTTTTTTTCCATCTTTGCCTTTTTCTGCTCGTCTCTTCTTTTTGATTTCTCTTTGTTCTCTTCATCTTCATTGTTTTCTCTTTTTCTTCTTGTTTTTAAAGCTAGTTTCTACTTTCAGCGTTATCGTTCTCGTCTTTTTATTCTCGTTCTATTTCACTTTGTGTTTCTTTTCCTTCCGTGTTTCACCGCTTCTCTTTCTTTCAACTCATCATCTTTGTTTCTCGTTGTTTCCTCTTTTTCTTTTGAACCGTTTTATTCTCAGTGTTTGTTTGTTTTAATCTGTTCTTTCATCTCTATCCTTCTCTTTGATTGTTTCCTCTTTGATCTATAATGAATCTCTTCTGCTGTATTCTTGGCTTCTCTCTTCCCTTTATTTCATTTTATCTTCATTTTCATTCCATATTTAATATTTTTCATCTTTTACTATTTAAATAATCTCTTGTTGTGTTTGACTGTTAGTTAATATTACAATATATTATTTTAATAATAAGATAAATATATAAAAGAGCAATTTTAACAGTAAAGTATGTCGATAGAAAAAGATCAAGAAACAAATCTGACATTTGAATTCTCTTCATCTTCCTCATCTTTTCTCTTCATCTGTAGTTTTTGCTGCCGTCGTCACTTTTCCTTTCATTATTATAACTCCTGTTCCTCCTTTCCTCCTTCCTTCCCTTATTCTTCCCTATTCACATCATCGCCTCCTTGTTTTCACTTTTTTATTCACTCAGTTTCTTGCATTTAAATTTATTTTAACAACGAGCGACGTAGTCCAGATTAAGTTTTCCTCCTCGCTCCTCTTCATGACAGATGAATAAAGTATCTATCTATCTATCTATCCATCTTCATCATCAGGTGTTTGTGCATCACATCCATCATCATCGTCGTCGTCGTCATCATCGTCCGTTAAACACATTTTCCCTCCGTCTCATGTTCTCGTATATTCTCCTCTGATGAATGCAGCTCTCTCGTATCATGTGACACGTGAGAGCGGAGCTGGAGGGGCGGTGAGAGTCTGTCCCCGGGGTTGTCATGGTGATGAAGATGATGAAGATGGTGATGATGGTGATGAAGGTGACGTCCGGGACGTTTTCTCCGAGTCTGACGGGCCGACGCCTTCAAATTATGGTTGATATAAAGGCAAACTGTACCTTATTATTATTATTACTGTTATTCAAACTGCAACAATGTAACATCATACATTGTGATTTAATTAATGTTTAATCTGATGAGTCAATATGTTGCATTTAGAATCAATTTAAATAGTCAATCAAAATACAATGTAATTAAGTTACAACATAATTGTAACTTAATAATAATAATAATTTAACTCATAGCTAAAGAGAAAAACCTAATACTGTGTATACTAATGTCATGTAATAATGTACAGTATAATTTAAACGGCAACATGTATTACATTTGATTTAACATTATTATTATATTATTATATTATTGTTATTATAAATGGTGAATGCTGCATTATGATTCTGATTCTGTATTTAATCTGCACTTCAGTTCCAGAAGTTGTTTCACAAAATGAGAACAAATTATTTTAATTATAAGAAAACATAAACAGAATAATCAGAACTATTTTAACAAGTCAAATATGTAACTTTACACATTCAAAATGTCTTTGCAGTAAGAAAGACAAACGTAAAACAATAAAATGAACATTTAAACATCTTGACAGGTTTCTGATGTTTTTCATCGTTTGTATAATCTGTAATAAAACGTCTTCATGTGTGTTCATGAGGCCTTTGATCAGTGATCATCGTTCCTCTCTTCACTCACTCGTGTTGTTAGTGAGCAGACGAGCCGTCATTTATCAAGCAGCCCGTTCAGACAGACGGACTGAGTCTTATTTTACATTCTGGATCATATTACTGACAATAAACAGAGTTCAATAAGACGGAGCAGCGATCGGATGAGTGGCAACGGAAGGAGAGCAAGACATCCCTTTTAAAATGTAGTTTTATTTATCTAAAAGGCTGTTTTATATTTTAGAAATAAACTTTTCTTCATTAATTTTAAATTCAAATTAATTATTAAACTGAAGTAACGGTTGATTCACTAAGTTTGAAATGATTTATTAATATATAAAAAAGCTATTTTGAGTTAATGAAATATCTGGATTTTATCCTATAGACTCAAATGTTTATTTAATAATAAATATATATGTTCTGTTAAACTATTAACACAAAGATGATGTTTTTCTGTTGAGGCGATGCTGAATTATTTCTTAATTAATGTTTGAAACATGTAGTTTATTAATAAGCTTAAAGTAAAATGCTCTCCTGAACTCATTTGAACTAAAACTAAACTTTTTCATAAACATAAAAAGTTGTTCTCATTTCTAAATGAAAACATAGAAATGAAACATTCAGACTTTATTAGTTCACAGTGTTTGTGATATGTCTAATCATGTGAAACAGCAGGTTTCTGCGTTCTGATGAGTGTCTGTGATGTCATAACGAGCCCCCGGGTCTCGGTCTCACCTGCAGGTTGCTGTTGCGGCGTCGGGCGCTGCACCTGCGTTTGCTCGGGTGACACCTGGACGAGCAGTCGAAGAAGTTACAGTCGTCGTCGCTGCTGCAGTTCTGGTCCAGGATGTCCCTCATCTTGGGCTCAAAGAAGGCCATGTCCACGTCGATGGCCACCACCTGCAGGACGCCACACACACACACACACACACACACACACACGGCTGAGTTCAGGGTCCTCGATCTGCTCTTTATTAACAACACTTTAATACTTACAGATGCTAAATAAAAGATCATTTCACTATAGCAGCAAACGGCACATTGTGACGTAATCTCACCTGAACACTTTACTCATTCTAATTAAAACTCTTTTACATCGTTTGTAAATGAAAACTCTTTATATATTTACACTTTAAAATATTCATTCATACCTTTAATTTTATAAGTATTTTAAATAGTATATTAACTTAACAGAACACTTATGGGAAAATAAATAGTGAATTGATTGTAATGTAATTTAACAATAATCAGAATCCATTGAGCTGAACATAATTTTAGGATCTTTATAAATCGCAAGTTTTGTTTTTTCAGAGCTTCAATTAAAACTGAAATGATCCAAAGAAGTCTCAAGTTTCAGATGTTTTGTTTTTTAAAAACTCCATACTTTAAAATATAAATATTAGTTCTGGGCAAGTTAACGAGTTATTATCGTGTTAACGCAATTCATTCATTAATGCCGACAATTATCGCGCGTTAACGCATTTTTAAAATTTATTATTATTAATTTTTTTTATTTTTATTGAAAGACAAGAGACAATACATATACATAACAACAAGAGGATGACAAGAACAGTGGGATAAAAGCCAGCAAACATCCTATAGTCAGTTGTGTATGTGTGTGTGTGTGTGTGTGTGTGAGCGTGTGTATGTGTGTGTGTCCTTGAGCCTTTTGTGATGGAAAAAAGAACAACAAAAAAACACAAACAGGTAAGTATTTTAAATGTATTATTATTGTAACAGACTGTCACGTGTTTATCGTTTTGTATTGGAGATGATATGTCCCTTCAGGGTTGCCGTAGAGAAAAGGCAAATTCCGCTTCTGGTCGAGGGGGGGCAGAAATAAAGAGAGAAGCTGCACCAGCTGTTGCTCTCCCTGGAGACTACTGGACATCGCTGCGGTAAAGTCAGCAGACACTCAGATCTCCGCGGTCAACTCAGCAGACACTTACATGTTAGTGCACCTATATGCTGACATTCACGGTAAACGCATTTAAACGGCACAGATCGGGAGCGAGCGAAGGACTTTGAAAGTTAGCGGAAAGATTAACGTGAGACAACATCTGGTTTCTTCAGATGAACATCCGGTTTTCAGAATAAGATGCCAACAAAGTATGAATTATATTCACATTAAGTATAAAACATGCTACCTGCATCTCGTGAACCAAATGGTATTGCCCTTTTGTTCATATAGCAGTACTTTTAAAATAAAAGTGCGCAATACACTACTTTTGAATTCATTATTGAACTTTGCCATAACAATGAGATTAAACTAGTGCTGGGCAACGATTAAAATATTTAATCGCGATTAGTCGTATGGATTTTTTTGCGATTAATCGCGATTACACTTCAATGTGTTGTTTGAATGTGTTTAGTTTAGATATCTGACATCAGGTCTGTGTTCAACACCAGCGTTTAGTTCTCCGATTATAAAATAGGTCAGTGAACGCCCCTCTGGTGGATCTCAATGAGATGACTAAACGTCTTCTGGTTGGACTACAAAAATACGTCATCCATGCAGCTTTTTATGACAAGAGATGAATCACTCGATTGCATCTCATATCAAGTCTAAGTTTAGCAGATCTTAACATATCAGGTATGGAGTTAATCTGCAAATTCTCTGGTTCAAAATGAGACCAAACTTTTAGTTGTTCAGCCACGACGATGGCTCAGCGCTTGTTTTCAGCCGAGCAAAATGCCAGAAATGCGACCCGTACCGGCCCTTTAAGAGGAGTTAAGGCATCAGCAGTCAATTTTATAAAAAATAAAAACGTCAATAAGATAGTATTTTTTTAGAAACCAAAGGTTCTTTAGCAAACAGTCGTGAACGAGCACAAAACATATCAGGATGATGCGTTGAGTATTATGAGAGAAGAGCAGTGGACAGACGGACAGATGCACACACACGACCAAGCGCATGATCTCCTGGCAGAGACAACGGCACCAAATAAAATTATTCATGGCAGTTGCACTTTTCTGGAAGCTGTTTTTACTGAGTTTTTACTGTCAGAAAAGACGTAAAAATGAAATATTTTGTCTATAAAACACGAAATAAACATAAAAGCTTCTGTTGTTGTTGGTGGTGAACATTATGTCAGCTCTTGTTTTACAGGAAACCTTTTACAATGTTTGGCATCATAAACCATGTCAACAGCTTTAACAGGAATCCTGCTGAAAGCACCAGAACAATGACGACTTCACATCTTTACAGCTCGTGTTGCTGTAGTCGGGAGGCTCAAGAGTGGAAGATATGAACACAGAGTCGAGTAAAGAAAGCTTTGTGTGAGTCAGTCGATGCAGCTTCAGGGTCTCATCTCCTGCTTTTATAGAACCCTCTCACGTCCACCGCTCTGCTCTCTCTAATAGCTTCTTTAAAAACCGTCCCTTTGTCTCCCGGCTCTGCTTTGATTCTCTTTCCGTTCGTCACTTTTCAGAGATGAATAAAAACTCACCGTCAGGTCCTTCCTGATGGCGAAGTTCTCCGGCTTGATGTCGCACAGGTGCAGCTTGTGGGTGAAGTCGTTGTCGAAGTGGCCCACCATGTCCAGGAAGCTGAGCGCGATGCGGTGCACCATCTCCCTGGAGGTCCAGCGGCCCCGGGCCCCGGAGACGGCCACCTCCTCCAGGGAGAAGATGTTCTGGTCCCAGGCGTGCCCGGCAGACAGGTACTCCACGGCGTAGAAGTGACCGCAGGAGCCCAACACCTTGGCCACGTGGGTGCTGAGATCCTGCAGGACTCTGGAGGGAAGATGGAGGTACATGCTTTATTCTATCTTCACGGTTCTTTTGCAGGACTTGTTTATTTTTTCTTTGTTTATTTTGACCGATTTTGGACCCGCTGGGTTGTCTGATCCCTCAGCGTCGCTTTCAAGGATGACATGAGCTTATTTGGTAAAAACGTCAGTGTGTCGTTTAGTTTTTATTTTGGAGCAGATGGCAGAAGTATTTTATGGGGTTCTATTGAGAACCCATTTATATTCCATGGGTTTCATCTAGAACCCTAAAGGACTGATGTGGTGAAGCTCAGCCAACCCTTTGTCTTACAAAGAACCCTTGAAAAACCCTGTCTCAATAAAGGGGTCCTTCAGAACCTCAGCCCTTAACGAGGTTCTCAGTTTGACTCGGTTGTAAGCGTTCTACTTGAAGGCTGTGATATGTTGGCGGTGCAGTAGTTTCCTGAGTGACGGGCGGTTCTACCGGAGGAAGGTGTACTCCTCCTGCTGCAGCAGAGACCAGAGGGAGGCCAGCTCCGCTCTGGAGTAACTCTTATCTCTGCTCTTCAGCTTCTTCCCCCAAAGTCTGGCCAGAGAGCCGTTACTTCCTCCTCCTCCTCCTTCGTCCTCGTCTTCCTCAGCCAGCCCCAGAGAGTTTCGTACCTGAGATCAGACAGAAGAAAGGGAAGCTGCACTCACAGGTTTTTGTGTGTGATCAGCAGCTTGGTGACGATGTGACTTACTTCCAGCGTGGCGTAGAAAACCACATCCAGCGGTGAGAGCTCCTCTGCTGTGTCCTGTCAGAGACAATCACTGTAAATCACGTTCAGTGTGCTTTGGATCCAAAGCCGAGCTTAAAGCAATCGCGTAAAAGACGTCACCTGGTAGTCCAGTATTCCCAGCGGCTCGTACGAGGAGAAGTTCTCCAGTTTGGACTTGAGGATGACGGGGTTTCCTCTCCAGCGCGCCTCGATCACCTTCTTCCCGTTCTCGTAGTAGAGGCAGCGCTTGTACTCCACCAGGCCGAGCACGCACAGGTCCTCGCACATGTCGCCCGTCACCGAGCCCTCGCCGAACTCCAGGCACTGTACGGCAGAGCGGGAGGGACAAACAGAGTCACGTACTTGAGTACAGGGCCACCGATCGATAGCTGGGCCACCGATCGGTAGCTAGGGTACCGATCTATTGTCAAGCTAAGTGAGCTTTTGAATATTAGGCGTGTTTCTGTGAACTGGTTTGGTGCGAATAAACCCTGCGACGGCGCAATTTGTCATAATTTGCCAGCTACGCAGAGCTGTAAACAGAGTTTGGAACCGGACACACAACAAGTCGGCTCCACCATCGAACCATCTACGAGGTAGACACGGAGAGAGGTCTTCAGGAATCTGTTTCACTTGTTCTTTAATGCTGTTTCATGCCGAGCGGTGGAGCGTAGACTCAGCCGCCAGTATGCTTTGTAACCAGTGTACCGGTAGCATGAAAGCACTAGCTAACTAGCCAGCCGCTAAATGAGTAAAATGTAACAACGTATGGACTGTATGGAATGTATAACGTGAGGACTTCCCTTCTTTTCTCTTCCGTCTGAACAGCTCAGTGTCCAGAGGTGTGAGGGATGAGCTTCAGGATTAGCGTTGTCCTGGTCACGGATTACCCAGATAATCCTCGCTCTGCTCACATTCCAACACAAACATCCGTCAGTGAGGAGCTCAGAGACGTCACACACACCTCATGCTCCACACACACCTGCTGGAGGAGCTCCGTCGGGTCCTGCGTTAACCCTTTAAGTGCACTCTCTCTGAAATACACAACGTAGCAACTCAGGGTGGCACAATTCTGAGATCATTCAAAGTGGAAACGGGTTTAAAATTACAGGCTGGAATTAAATTTAATGAAGAGCGTTGTGACTTGTTCAGGACTCAAAACTCAAAGTCTGTTTTTATGGACTTTCTCACTGAGCTTTCTGTTATTGTTGTTATTGCCTTCTTTGTCTGTCAAAGCACTTTGTGAACTCTGTTTTTAAAGGTGCTCTATAAATAAAGTTATTATTATTATTAAACCCAAATCACGAGACGCTGGTTCGTGCAGGACTAATATCATCACGTGTGTCGTCAAACGTATGAAGATATAGATACAGATCTGTTATGAGGACTTGAGTCGTTCGGGGTCAGTGGACGAGCTCTGCGGGTAACGTGAGTCGTGGTTAAAGGGACAGGAAGTGTCCGGGACAGACAGACAGGTGGACCAGCAGACAGATAAGACACGCAGACGGGTTTAAATGTCCTGAGAAACAGAGAGCGGTGATGAAAGAGTCCTCCATCTGGTGAATGTGTTGAAGGGGAGAGTTGAGATAACGAGGACGTTCAGCTTCGTTTGAGCGCTAAAACCTCTTCAAAGAGCTGCGTCTGTCTGGACCAGATCAGCTGCTCGGGTTCCACACGAGACGAAGGTTTCATCTGGAAATCAGTTCGTACGACGTTTAACGTTTATTTCACTACGAGCAGAACGATGAGTTATTACAAAGTTATTATGTCTTAATTCTGATGAATTTATCATGAAGTGTGTGAATTAAAAATAGTTTTCAGTTATTCTATGTCCTCCTCCTCTACCTGTCCTCTACCTGTCCTCCTCTGTCCTCTACCTGTCCTCCTGCTCTACCTGTCCTCTACCTGTCCTCCTCTACCTGTCCTGCTCTACCTGTCCTCCTCCTCTACCTGTCGTCCTGCTCTACCTGTCCTCCTGTTCTACCTGTTCTCTACCTGTCCTCCTGCTCTACCTGTCCTCCTCTACCTGTCCTCATGTTGAGGTGGACGGGTCCTCTACAGGTGTGTTTGTTGGAAACAACCAGTGGAGACGTTTCATTAGGTGAATACATATAAATATGATGTTTGTTATCGTTCTGTTTGTGAGCAGATTAAATGTTAATCAGTAAGCTTCAGAACTGTTCGTGTATACGGAGGATTCCAGTCTTTATGTTAAGCTAAGCTAACAAGGTCCTGACTCCAGCTCTGTACTGAACACACACACACACACACACACACGTGAGATGAACGTCCATCTGAACGTCTAGTGTTGAACTTTTCCTCTAACTTCTGGATTCACTTCTACTTAAATCTTTGAAACACTCTTTTGTTTCTACCTTGAAGCTCCTCGTCATTCTTTAGCTTCTTTAGTCCTCCTGGACGCCTGCAGCCTCCACACACACTCTCTCACACACACACACACACACACACACATATCCGCTGTAATTCCCTGGATTTCCTCCGTCTTGCATCACATCAATCTCTCCACCTGCTTCCTCCTTCCTCAACTCTACAGTGTGTGTGTGTGTGTGTGTGTGTGTGTGTGTGTGTGTGTGTGTGTGAGCTATAAAAAGATTCTACATGGTCTTTGTGTTGAAAGTTTGTGAAACAGACTTCAGTAGCTAGCGTAGCATAACACGTGCCAACGCTAGCTACTGACGCTAACCTGCCCGAGCTCGTATGGCGTATTAACGATGTGTTCAGGGTCCGTCATGACATATTAACGATGTGTT